TCTTGCTCCTTTCCTCAGGCAGCCCAATTTTTGTTGTTCGCTATAGTTTTAGTGTATGATTTCATACAATAGGAAAGGATTCTTTTTTCAATCTGATCGAATTCAATTGCATACCATGAAACAGGCTATTTTATACTTTGGTCAAATAAAAAAAAGAAGAAGAAGAAGAAGAGAGAGAGAGAGAGAGAGAATTGCTCTGTATAAGCCATTTATAATTCCAAACCCCTCCCCAAATTGTTAATACACCAGGGAGGAAAGAAAGTAGTGGGACCACTTTATTAATCTTAAATCGAAATGATAACCAAATGCTTATGAACCCTGGTAGACAGAGACCAATTTTTATCTAGCTTTATACAGCTATGCAAATGTGATCTATATGTGCATTAGAAGGCACCAAATTTCTTGTCAACAATGTCTAGTATGCATTATATACTAAACCCGTGAATGCAAATATAAACTCATGCATGTGAGAGAGAGAGAGAGAGAGAGAGAGAGAGAGAGAGAGAGAGGGAGAGAGCAGATAATCTGGCAATTCTGCTGCTACCATTCCCTCATTTTCTTTATTTCCTGTACTTCTCAACCAATAAATAAGTACTAATAATATATGCATCCTGATATTGTACCTAATATGAATGTAAATCCAGGAACTAGTTAATTAAAAGTTCCCATAAACGATAATCTTCTTGCTCCTTTCTTGAGATAGCAACAATTTTTGTTGTTCAATAGAAGTTTAGTATATGATTTCCATATACGATGGGAAAGGATGCTCTTTTTCAGTCTTCTATGCATTCGATTGAATACTCTTCAATTGGCTATTTTTTCCACTTACATCACCAGTATTCTAGAGACACCATATATCCATTTTAAATAAACTCGACTACTTATCGGTATCACCTCACACATAATATGAATAACAACAAAAATCTAGAATCTGCAAAATTTAATTTAGCCCCTGTTTGACACCCATTTTGGAGAAAAAATAAATTCTGGAATAGTGATTGATGGAAGAATGTGTGGTTAAAAAATAATGAGAATTTTTGGGTTTGTGTATAGTATTATTTTATTGATAGAATGTGTGGTTGAAATAAAGAATGAGAAAAAAAAAATGAGAATGAAAATGAAAAGAAAATGAGTGTCAAACAGTGGCCAAATTTGTATCTCAGTGTACTCGTTCAAGAGCATAATCGTCTGGACACAGGCACGGATACATCTGAAACTGAAGCATGTGCATAGATACATACATCTGTGCATTGGTTTGTGGAGAGAGAGTAGCAGTAGGAGCAGTTATTCTTGGAAAATGGCATTTTTTTTTCTTTTTTCCCCTTCTTAAACTTCTCTCCATCAATTTATGACGAGTAATGAAGTTGTCTGTACATATACTCATAGACTAGCTGCTTATCCTGCGCAAATGTAGATCAAGAGGTTATCATCATAAAACAATTCAGAAATTTAGTAATAAAACCTAGCCATGAAAATACACGGACAAAAAATTCTGGATTTTGATATAAACTTCAACAATCTTAAGAAATATATTCCTTTATCTGCAGATAAAGAAGTACATCTGATGCATTCAATAAAAAAATCATACATACATTTTTTTTTTGGAATCAAAAAGTTGTTTAAATACATGTAGAGGTGATATTTCTATCCAAAGATTGTGAAGTATGACAATTAAAAACTTCTTGAGCTTGTAAAGATCCTTGCCTTGTTTACAAAATCCTGTGAAGAAACAAAAATATATAGTCATTATAGTGCTCACAAAGAAAAAATGTACTCTATTCTTTCATTGTTCTCGGCCAAATGTAGACGAAATCTACCAAAATCTTTTTAAAGTGGATAAAAACTTGAATGTTTGAACTACTCTGAGGTCCAGATACTAAACTGGTTGCTGATTAACTATTTTAGAATAAGATGTAAATTTTAGATTGTCCACGTTGTTTTATCAAATGAGAAGCATAATTTTGTTTATAGTTCTGATCGAAAGTTCACTCATTGGACGAAAAAATCAAATTCTATTCCATTCCATTTGTGCACATTTGGTTCATTCGTTAGACAGAATGCTAATATGATAAACAACTGAACATTAAATGGACAATGCAAAATTAAATCAAATATAGTGATCATAATTAAAACAAACCAAAATAGTGATACTTTCACTCGATCAATATTCAACATCAAACCAGAATTCAGCAATCCAAATGCTCGAAAATCATATAAACCATGACTGATATAAACAGAATATGGAAGCGAAGGAAAATTAGAAACACAATTTCATCAATATCAGATTCATTAATAATTACATAATCTAGTAAAAAATTGTACTACCATACAGTTTGAAAAAATAAAATAAAATGTGAGAATGGACATTACAAAGGCGTCGCCAAGTAGAAAACGGCGCGATGGAATTGCATAGTTGTAGATGTGAAACAGTTGGACGTCGTCGTTTCTGCTCTTCAATGAGCATGTTCAAGGTATTGTGAATACCGACTATAATGAACTTTTTTAGATTACCGTTCGGCCCAAATTTAGCAATTTCCAGCCGAATAAGGGTGTAAATAAAAAAATGTTCCCATAATAGCATA